TTTAGATAACAGAAGCAGCAAGGATTGCGGTGATACAAGATTTTCGGCTGTATGACAAATAGGCATTTAATTACGGAATTTTTCAAGATTTTACTAATTGTGTTAGCATTACAGTGCCATTTTCACCGTCCTGACCAGCTCTGTGGACCGCTACAAAACAACTGCAAGTCGGATCAGCTCATTTTTAATACCATTGAATAGCCCAGGTTTTTCACTTTAATTTGGAATAAGTTTAACGTCATTTGGTTAAGTAGTAATTTAAATATGAATTAATTACTGTTTTCAAATAGTGTATTTGAAGCAGCTTCAACACTAGCGACCGTTAGAATACCGTTGGGTGATTCACCACCCAAAGGAATTCGCATCCGGCTGAAAAAGTAGGTAGTGGCCAAATTACCATCATCTGCCTAATTAGACTCCTAATTACTGGATCAACTTACTTCCAAACGTCCTTTCTACTAATAAGAAGTAAAAGTTCGAAGTTTTCATAAAATTCGACCAATTAGAACCAAAGTTACTAATTTGCGGCATTAATTATTGGACTTACAAAAATTCAAGAAGTTAGTATGAAAAACTGAAGAAGATAAGCGTCTAATATATATACACAGAAGATAAGCATCCAAGTGCAGTGTGAGTTGTGTTTGTGCAAGTGCTATTCTGGTTCATTAGTGCTAATTGGATTACTGTTCCTGCTTTACAGATGAAAAACAGAGAAGATAGCAGCCAAGGTAGGACAGCCTGACATTATAATTAATTTATTAATCGCAGATTAACCAACAGGTTGGCTTCAGCCAATACCTTGACACTATTTACTACTCAAAATAGGTGTCTAGTATCCTCAGGTTTTACACCGGAAACTCGATTAATTATAAAAGTGTCTACGTAAATATGTGTTAATTAATGATGTATTGTTATTCACATGCTGATTAATTACCGCTAAATTTTTCATAACTTCGCAAAAATGGTGCGATTTTAATAATTCTCAAAATGCCTAGAAGGCTCCTGTTACCCATCCCATTAACTTGACTGTGTATTTAAGTATAGTGCTTAAATTGGTAATTGCGTTAATTACCGGTATAGTCTTATTGCACTCTTGTATTTTATAATTTTATAGGCTTCTGTATAGACAGCGGCACTTTAATTGTACTCTAGGTTCCCGGCACCTTTGAACAATGCTAATTGCAATTAATCTAATTACCATATTTTAAGTCTTTAATTATTCATTTAATTAAGTTATTTATAATTTGTATACATTTCACTGTTAATTTGATTAATGTCCTTTATACAACTTAAAAGGCTTCTTCAAATGTTTATTAGTAAGTGTAAATTAGTGTGCAAAGTAGTGCTAGTAGTGACTGTGTTCAATTCAGTGATCAGCGAATTGTGCAAAATAGTGTAACGCGAACTTTCCAGTTTTTTATTGTAACGAATTTCTAGTACCACTGAATAGACTCTTTACAATAACTGCCATCACGGTGCTCCATTTAAATCATGCCACGTCCTTCGGCCCTTACAACTGACGGAGAATCATCTGACACACAAAGTACCTTAGACGCTTCTAAGAAATTGGCTTCAGATCTGCCTTACGTAGAAAAGATTTCCATTTTTTACGAAGACATCCGACAGGTAACGACCACTAAAAGAAACGCCAAATTCCTCTTACCAACTGAACTCCGTGCTCGCCTCCTAGACTCTCTGGCCGCATTACAAACGCTGGCCATAAAAGGACAAGACTTTATACCAAAAACTGCCAAAGTCGATACCGGAGTCAATACCTCAACCGTGCTTTGTTGCGAATTAGCACATTCTCAGCAACATCCGACTTCGGAACAGCATTCTCAACAGGCCTCAACACCACCACCAACTGCCACCCGACCCGACCGACATTTGCTGAGATCGTCAGGAAAACAAAGACACAAAGCCTTTTCATACGGCCGAAACCCGACATTACAGAAGCGGAACTAAGAACGCAGCTCAACGCCAAAGTACCCCTCACGAAGATTCAGGTTGGAATAGACAAGATTATCAGAAGTAACAAAGGCGGCATTGAAGTAATCTGTAACACCAGCGACGATGCCACAGCTCTCGAGCAGCACATCAAGCAAAAAGAAATCCCGGCGGAAATCAGTAGACCTCGGAAGCGCAAGCCAAGATGTGCAATTCACGACCTGCCAGAGTCTACAAAACCCGATGAAGTGCTTGAGGAAATCAGCGCTGCTACAAACATGCCCAATAACACCTTCAAGCCCCTCCACCGTCTCAGAGAACGACGTAAAGGAAACGTCAAGTGGGTATTCGAATGTGAGCCCACAAGCTTTAGTGCCATCATGCAGCAAAGGAAGATATTCTTGGGATGGCAGGCCCACAAAGTCACAGAGTACTCTGGCATCAAGAGATGCTACAGATGTCAGCAGTACGGGCATACGCAGGCAGACTGCAAAAGCCAAAAGCAATACTGTTCATTCTGCGCTGGAGAACATGGGGTTTGGGAATGCAATGCACATCAACCGCAGTGCATTAACTGCGGGGACGCAAACTCACGCTATGGATCAAGACATAATTTTACCCACCCAGCCTACCACCCCGACTGTCCGCAGTACCAGCGAAGAGTGCAGACCATCAAAGACAGTACAGAGTACTAGAAGCCTGCCAGCGCCTTTAATGCGCTCAACAGCAACCTCACGTCCCGACGAAAGTTTCCAAAAAATAAATACGGCTAATATAGCACAGAGCCCAATTGCATTCCTACAGATAAATTTACAGAGGGCACAAGCAGCGACAAATAGAGCAGTAGCATTTGCCATCGAGCACAGTATCGACTTCATTCTAGCACAAGAACCGTACACACGAAATGGCCAAGCAGTGGGATTCCCACTTAAATGGACGATATATCAGCAGCAAGAGAAGACGCAACCGCCCCGCGCTATCCTAGTATGTTGTCAACCTAACTGGACTCCTCTGATTATTGAGCAGCAAAGAGACTTAAGTGCAGTCCTTCTTCAAGCCAGCAACTTCTCACTTCTTCTCATTTCGCAATATGCTTCCCCAGCTGAGGATTTAGAAACCACGATTGAACTAGCACAGTCAGTTCTCCAACGAACCAAGCTGTCAAACGTCATCATAGCTGGAGATTACAACGCTCATCATACCAACTGGGGCTACACAGCAGTACCGACACCAGAGGAAGACAACTTGAGGATTTCATATCAACACATAATCTCATTCTCCATAATTCCATAGATTCTCCACCAACCTTTGACAGAATTTTTGCTGTTGGCTGGCCGGATTTGACCCTCTCTACGGTGCCGATAGCACAGCATGTGCAGGACTGGAAGGTAGAAGAAGCTGATAGCTTATCAGACCACAAATTTATCACCTTCAAACTCAATAGCCTACCACAAATAGAAATTATTAAACGTTATAACATGCCATCAAATAAGAAGCGACAGTTCTCTCGGAAAATTGATCAAAGATTAAGCAATCTAACCCCAGTCCTAAAAAATGCCAATACACAAAGTGATATGGAATCGCTAACCGACGACATCATGAAAATTCTTCATGACACCTGCGAAGAGCTCTTACCAACAAGATCCAAAAAGAAATTAAACGCCACTAACTGGTGGAACACAGAGCTCACCATCCAACGGAAAAAATGCCGTGCGCTCAGACGCAGATTAAAGCACGAACGGCGTAATGAAATCCAGAGCACTACCCTACCTATCTTTCAAAGAGAGCGAGCATTATATAAACGGCTAATAATCAAGGCCAAGATCCATTCCTGGCAAAAATTTTGTACTGAAACGGAAGGAATTTACGGGCTGCACCACAAAATAGCCACTAACAAGCTCTTTAAACCCGTGCGTCTTCAATTCATACCATCAGAGCAATCACTAATTACGGAAGAATCCACCAAAAATACGCTAGAAAATATCCTGGACCATGTCTTTAGTCAAGATGACAATTCTGACGACTCGGAATATCATAAATCTCTACGCAGTAACAAATCTACTCCGTCTACTGCAGACGATCCAGACTTCACCATGCAGGAAGTTTTACAAGTCCTGAAACTCCTTCCCAATAACAAGGCACCGGGACCAGACGGGATAAGCTATCAAATCATCAAAACAGCAATAAGAGCATCTTTGCCACTTTTTATAGCCTTCTTTAATAAGCTGCTACAAACAGGTACGTTCCCAAAAGCCAGGTTTATTCCTAAAAGGTCGGCCAGGTCGTATTATTCCTAAAAAAGGATCGCGATCCTTCAGATCCATCCTCGTACCGACCGATCTGCTTACTTTCGGCTCTCGGAAAGTATATGAGAAGCTTCTAATGAATCGCTTACGACACCACTTAGAAAGAGGCCAATATCTACACCCCAAGCAATATGGATTTCGAACAGGGTCATCAACACTGCATGCACTCCACGATATACATCAGCTATACACGATAATCGACCACGGCTATCATACTGCTCTAATCAGTATAGACCTGAAAAGTGCATGAATATCAGAACTAATGATCGCTTACGACACCACTTAGAAAGAGGATTTTCATATTACACACCCCACTCAATATCAGACATCGCTTACGACACCACTTAGAAAGAGGCCAATATCTACACCCCAAGCAATATGGATTTCGAACAGGGTCATCAACACTGCATGCACTCCACGATATACATTCAGCTATACACGATAATCGCAACCACGGCTATCATACTGCTCTAATCAGTATAGACCTGAAAAGTGCATTTGATATGCTGTGGTGGCCCTCAATTTTAGAAGCACTCAGAACAGTTCAATGTCCACGCAATATTTTCCTTACTTTGCGACATTACCTAACGGACCGTTGCCTTCTAATAGTGCACGACAGTGGGATTATCAAGCGTACCCAAACCAGAGGATGTCCACAGGGGTCCTGTGCAGGCCCCCATTTGTGGAACGCAACCTTCAACTCAGTCCTAAAATTCACACTGCCAACGCATTCCTCCATATTCGCATATGCAGATGTTGCTCTACTTGTCCAGCGATGTTGCTCTACTTGTCCGAGGACGTACTAGAGCAGAATTGGAGGCCAACTCAAACGAAGTTTGCAATCTATTCTACCAGCAATGCAACAGACAAAAACTCCAAGTAGCAGAGCACAAATGTCAAATTCTACTAATCGCAAAGAAGGGAGGATCACTGACTAGAAGACCGACAATCCGCATCAACAATCGTCGAATTAAAATTGTCCGTGTCCTGAGATACCTCGGTCTATACATAGATGAAAAACTGACATGGATGCCGCACATACTTAATTTAAGGAAGCGTACAGCAATCATAGCACAGCATTTCAGAATGCAACGCGGATTTCATTGGGGGATTAATTCTCACATACAAAAAGCGTTATATCTTACTGTCGTCGAGAAGATGGTGTCCTATGGAGCGGCCATTTGGGCCTTCCCTATGCAGGGAAGGAAAATCCGGCACCTGTCTGCACTACAGAGGCCCTTCCTACTCTCAATTACAAGAGCCTTCAGGACAACATCTACTGATGCACTAAACATCTTGGCAGGAGTGCTACCACTTCATCTACGCATAGAAGAAGAAGCGGTGACACAACAGGTTCATCAGTTAAGACTTTCACTTACTTATGATTACGTTACCTTCTCTCAAGAACAGTTTGAGAATAAGACCTCACAACTTCATATACACCCAGCAATCAAGGGTATTGGAATTCACCTCACGAAGAACCCAGCATATGTGGCACCATCCGGCTACATCTCCATCTACACAGATGGTTCTCGTATTGACGAAAAGGTAGGCAGCGCCTTTGTCGTGCTCAGTGAACAACAACAACCCCTTCACCAATGGCAGATGCAGCTCAGCACTGAAAACAGCGTTTTCCAGAGTGAAGCACTCGCCATTCACGAGGCCATACGCTATCTAACGAATAATAAAATCTCCAAAGCCTTAATACATACAGATAGCCTGTCTTCTATGCAAGCAATTGCCAATTCAGAACATACCTCCCCGCAAATAGCAGGCATTCAAAAAAGTCTACGTGAAAATGCTCACAATCATTACGTCATAAAATGGATTAAAGCGCACACAGGTATTTATGGCAATGAACTTGCAGACGGCCTGGCAAAAGACGCCGCCACTGGGAACAACATTACTACAGTACAGATCCATGGCCTACCTCATATCTAAAAAAGACCTTACGGCAAATTGTTTGCAATAAATGGCAGCAGGAGTGGACGAACAGCTTAACCGGCAGAAGAACTTTTTACTTCAAGCCAAAAGTAGATTTACAAAGACTTATCGCCAGTCCCCTCTTGGTACGTTACATATCCGGTCATGGCCCCTTCCCACAGTACTATCATCGACACGCTATCACCAGCACTGACGAATGCATCTGTGGCGAAGAGGGCACAGCAGACCATTACATCACTGCATGTCCCCTTACAGAGGACCACCATATTGCCATTCCTATAACGGATAGGCAGGCCTTCTGCAGGTTCCTCGTTAAGCATAAGCCAACAATACGCCAAATCACTGCCGTCATGTCAAAGCTAATGACACTTGGCACAGAATTGTGTCAAACTGCTTAATGTAACTTATGGTGTCAAGCAGCATAGTGACTACTACATAGGAATCACAAATTTATGCATGTACTATGCCTATTTTTCACATCAGACTATTTATATACAGACTGCAACCCAATCTGCAGATTACCTTTCCTTGTGCAATTAGTAATGTTACAATATTTCAACATAGTGACCTTTTCTGCATGTATATTACATGCAAATTAATATAACCTGCATTATATAATAATGTGTGTAGTATGTGAAATGCAGGTTTGTAATATGCACTATGTAAAACTTGGCACAGAATTGTAAGAAACTGCTTAATGTATCCTTCAGTAATTGTAAACTGTACTATTTAATGTGTGTAATATGTACCATGCTAATATTGTAGTAATATGTACCATGCTAATATTATTTATATATGTACCATGCTAATATACTAAGTAATTGTAAACTGTAAATGCGTGTAATATGCTTGTACCATGCTAATATTCTAAGTAATTGTAATCTGTAAATGTGTAATATGTACCATGTCTCAGTAATATGTGTAATATGTGTAATATGTAATATGTACCATGTCTCAGTAATTGTGTGTAATATGTACCATGCTAACACTCTCAGCACTTAAACTTAAGCACTATGCAATCTCTCACTAAATGTTTAATGTACTATGAAATGTGTGTTTATATGTACCATGCAAGTATCAATTAATATTATTAACTATTAATGAACTTCTTAGTAAATATAATCAGTCTTATGTAATGTATGTACTATCTATCATGCAAGTCTGTAAATAATAATGAATGCATAATGTTAACCTAAGTACCTAATTAAGTATGATTACTTAAATATGAACTCAACGGATGCAACGTACCTTAAACATAAGTTACATTCAATTTCCAGGTAAACGCAATATATAGTATGTAATGTGTAAAATATGTACCATGCAATATGAATGTTTATGTATCATACAAGCCTGGATTTGCAAGTCTGAACGTATTAAGTACTTTAAAGACAAGTATTCATCAATCACTCAATAAATGTAAACTGTACTATAATAAGCAAGTATTAATTAATATCATAAACTATTAATTAATTTCTTAGTAAATGTAATCAATATTATGTAATGTGTGTACTATGTACCATGCAAGTCTGTAAACAATAATGAATGCATAATTATGTTTAATTAATATTAAAATATTGAACCTTGCGGATGCAACGTACCTTAAACATAAGTAAAAACAATTTCTGAGTAAATGCAATATATAGTATGTAACGTGTGAGAATATGTAACATGCAATATGAATATATATGCATCAAGCAAGTTTGAATAGGGTATAGAACATATAATAGTCATGCAAGTCAGAATATGGTAATAGGTAAATGCAATTCTGCAAGTCTGAACATAACGAAATTAAGTACTATTAAGTTTCTCAGTAATTGTAATCTGTACTATTTAATGTGTGCAACATGTACCATGTTAATATTATTGTAATATGTAACATGCTAATTTTCTCAGCAATTGTATTTTTTTTTTTTTTAACTGTAAATTGTAAATGTGTGTAATATGTACCATGCAAATATACCCCATGTCTCAGTAATTGTGTGTAATATGTACCATGTCAATATTCACAGTACTATTTAATATTTAATGTAAATAATATGTACCATTCTAATTAATTAGCATGCACTATTTAATGTGTGTAATATGTACCAATGTGGTGTAATATGTACTATGCAAACTGTAAATAATAAGTCTTAATGCGTAAAGCCAACCTAATGTGCTAACCTAAGAACCATGCAACTATACATACTTATAGTAAGTTAAATTGAATAACCTAAACAGGTGTAAAGTACCTTAAACATAAATATTAAGTACCCTAAACAAAAGTATTAATCAATCTGTCAGTAAATGTAAATGCACTATGAAATGTGTATGATATGTATGATATGTACCATGCAAGTATTAATTAATATTATTAATTAATAATTAAATTCTTAGAAATGTAATTTGTATTATGTAATGCGTGAACTATGTACAATGCAAGTTTTCTCAGTAAATATAAGCTGTACTATGTAATGTATATAATATGCACCATGCAAACCTGTAAACAATAATGAATGCGTAGTGTTAAACTATGTGTTAACCTAAATACCTAAATGTAAAGTACCTTTAACATAAGTATTAATCAATCTCTCTGTGTGTAATATGTACCATGCAATACCATGCAAGTCTGTAAATAATAATGAATGCATAGAGTTAACCTAAGTATCTAATCATGTATAATTAACGTAAATATTGAACCTTACGGATGCAAAGAACCTTAAACATAAGTCATATTCAATTTCCCAGTAAATGTAATGTGTAATATGAAATGTGTGAAATATGTACCATGCAATATGAATGTAAATGCACCATGCAAGTATGAATAAGCAAGTCCGAATATGGTACGGCATGTGTAATAGGCGTGCAAGTCAGAGTATGGCAATATGTACCATGCAAGTCTGAATGGGTAGCGATAACCTAAGTACCTAATTATGTCATTCTAGATAAGGGCGGGCGTGGTGCTCATACCAATTAACCGTAACGGTAGAGGGATGGTGCCCACGTCCTCCGTCACTCACTCACTCTTTAAAATCGCTTTTATGGTTGTAAGATAAATTCTACGACAAATGCATGTACATGTATGAAATTACAGTTATACATGTATCATGATTTTTGAAAACCTTGGAAAATGTAATGAAAACTAGGAGATATGTATACGAACTGCAGAACTTTCCTCCAAGCTGTCAATTTATCAAACACTCCAGGTGACAACGAAGTATGTCACGCCTCAGTTCAAAGTACCTAAAGGAGATAAAGGCAATCAACTTTCTGCTAAACGATTCCAAATATGTTCACTTGAAATGATGTTTGGGGATCAAACTGAACATTAGTCGAGTTCTGTGATCTTATGTGAACCAAATGGCTATAGCTGCTCTATAAAGCCGATATTATCATTCATTGAAATAAATGAATCACCTTCAGCTTTAGCTACAGGTCTCAACAATGACGAACGATTTCATTCTGATAATACAAAGATCCCGAACATGCTTCAGCACAATCTTGGAGATCAGTCTATGCGTTTAAAAAAATTGACTTCAAATCAGGATTCTGTCTTCTGTGTATTACTTTGAGGATGATTTACAGGTTGAATAATGTTGGTCCTATTTTACAAATCTTGATATGAGGTGAGTCACAATGTACAGAATATTTACACACATCAATTAAAATGTTTTTATTCTGCTGTTGTCTGTTGCAAGTGATCTGTCTTCAATGTTCAATGGAATTGATATAAAAAACTAGAGAACGGTTCTTGTCCGTCTTGTCTTTCCGCATTTGAAATAAGAGGGATGTTTCGAAGTTCTAGGTATTTAGTTATAATATTTTATTTCGTCAATTTTCATTACTATTTCAAAGAAGTTTTTCAGTATAATTCTCATTTAGTTGAATAAACTAATTCCAAAGAAAAATTACTTTTAAGCCGTCCTCAAAGAATGTTTCTGGTGTCTCCTCAATACACTTATTTATGGCATGATTAAACTTTAAAATCGGATACCCCATAAAGAATGTTTCAAATGCGGGAACGGAATACTCCTCACAGACCTTCAACAATTTCTGAAATTTTTACATTTCCTTTCCACAGAAGGAAAATGATTATGCTTTGAATCTTCCGTACTTCGCATCTATAGTTACAAAAGCAGTGCTACAAAAAATGTGCTTGTATCAGTCAAACAGCTGAATTGCACCAAACAACATTGCACGAGATAGCTGCAAAAATATGTCAAGACTTGTATCTGGCCGATAGCGTCAAATCTAAATTCTAGGAAATGAACTAGAGCTCAATTCCTAGAACTTTGCAAATATCATTCAATTCTAGAGCTACAAAATGGTTAGCACCAAGCTAAGATTATCGTCTTTTTTTCTAGAGAACGAAAGGTCTGGAAAAATTGGGTCATAGTTGTTGTTTTGCTTTTCCTCCGGTTTCTGACAAAGTCAGACAAGATCCAAAAGACCGTTGACTCTAAGAACGTCGAGTAAAAGGAGGGGATTGGAGTAAATATCCTACCTAGAGAGGCCCAAGCAGCTTAATCTGTGCTCGGTAGACGCTCGATGTTCTCGACACTTGGCGCATCTGGCAAAGATTTTCATGCCCTCCTTGAAAGACAGGCTCTTAATATGATCGCTGGCAATACGTGAGAGGGCAGTTCGGGTTCAACTGCCACACTCAAGCGTTAGGGTCCAACCAGGCTTGCTATCTAAGTGCCAGAGATGGGTGGAGGCACCAACCACTGCACCATGATCTGTGATGTTTTCAGAGAAAATAATTACAGATAGGTTGGGGGGGAAGAGAGTGGAGTTAAAAGGCCATAGCCCTCCTTTGTTAGTTTGTCTGACATTTCGTTGCCATAAAGATCCACATGGGATGGGATCCACTAAAAATAGATATCATGATGGTGAGAAATTAGGTGTAGGTTTGGTAGAACAGAGATACTAGTCTTATCGCCCAAGTTAATCCAGTTACTAAGAGTTGTTGTTGTCATAGATGACAGAACTCTTAGTAACTGGTAGTCCATTTTTCA